AACTTTTAAAGACGGTAGTAGTTCAGGTGGGGAGCTGCGTCAGCATGCGTAGGCTGCAAAGGAACAAGTAATAGGTTTATTCCATGCTGAAAAAAAGAAGAAAGAGAACACACTTTTAAAGACTTGTAGTATATTCAATGGTTTAAGCACATTGTGCCATAACAGATGTCTGTAGGTTTCACTTATATTATTGCTGTCAACATTACGGCAAAGAAGCACATGTTACAAACAAAATAATATACAGTCTGTCTGTCAGCAAGGTGCACAACTGATTCAAGAGAGCACTTGTCCTGTAATGTGCTCTTAATTTATCTTAACTTTACCAAAGGTGACTGACAGAAGGATTCCTATGTTGCTATCATAAATGAGCACTTTTAATCTTAAGTTCCTTATTAGTTTTTTAGTTCCGTTCATAATATACTTTTTAATTTAAATTCAAACTGTAGTTTGTGTTATGTGTACACACCCTTAACTTTCTTCAGTATAGAACATTTCAAGGTGAGATAAAACCCAGTACTTGACTAAACAGAGGTATAGAGAATCTTTAAAAATATTCACTTTGTTGGATGGTAATTTCTGTTTGCAATGTCAATAGTACACATACTGTATGGAAAGGCACTTGCACTATTACACTAAGAGGGTGTCAGGGGTAATTATGTTGAATGCAAAGGTTAATATATTTCATATTCATTTGCCATCGATTGTAGATTCTCACAACAGAGCCTGTTAATAAAATCTATGCAACAAAATTCTAAAGTCTGAGAAGAATAACTAGAAACACAAATGATAGTGCGAGACAGCTATAAAATGCAGTAAGAGATACAATTATTTTTATTAAAAAATACAGATAGAGCACATCAATACTGGTTTCCTGAACTCCTGAATTCTTTATGACAGAGTTTCTGCTAATCAAAGCAACATATTTTATAGACTTTATTTTCAGTTTTTATGAAGCATCAGAGCACATCAGAGAGGTAGAGAGTTCAATGGTGCTTTTTCTCCCATTAGCGCAGGGCAGAATTCCTTCATCCTTGGTTTTGTGAATCGCGGCTCACGCCTTGAGAATGCCCGAGGGTGAAGGAAGTGGCATCTTGCTGATTAGAGTGCTTTGAAGAGGTTTTCGTGTAAGAGGTGGATGGTCACGAAGTGATGATTGAGGTCACAAAAGGTGAAAGAGAAGACAACATTTCTACAAATGCGAAGTTGGCTCTGTAAAGGATCAGAAATTCATTTCAGCCCATCTGAATTGTTGTTTTTTTTAGAAGGCAAGTGATCCAAACATTCCAGTTGTTCCATTCCATCAAAATATACCGGATATGGGGGACAGATCCAGCACTGCTGGGGGAAATACTTGTAACCTCCACAAAAAAGGAGGAAAAGTGTTGAGTCCTTAACAGATCCATAGCAGAACCTTTAAAATACTTTAAATCAGCGACATTAAGTGTTTTGAATGTTCCAGACTAATTTGGAGTCAATTGTGTAACTGCTTGAAGACAAGGTTATTGAAATAGTGCCGAGGCAGTGTTAGGAAAAGTCTTCTCGTGCTGTGTCCTCAACATCGAAAATTGGACCAATTGTGTCGTTTTCCCTTGCCTAATACGCTTGTCTATCAAAAAAGTCAAAAATTAAAAGTTTCAAAAATCACTTTCTACATGCTAATCTGTCCCATTGTTGACATTTAAATCCATACAAATTGATAGGTCATGTCCAATTGATAACTTTAGCCATACTTCAATGATCAGAGTAGTCCTAACCTGTAAGCACCATATTACACATAAAAAAATCATACTGAAATATTAACACAAATCCTCAGCAGATACCTTTAAAACTTTTTAAAACTGCTGTGTTATATGCTTTGAAGATTTTTGACTATTTTGGTGTTATTAATGTAACTTAATGCAGTAAACTTTTTGTTTTGTTGTTTTCCTGACAATGAACAGTTCCCAAATTTTTTTTGTTTTTACGTTTTTAAAACAAACTTTATATATGTTAATATCTCTCATTTTTTTCTTTTGAAACCAAACAACATGCTAATTTTGAACACCATTTTAGTAGAAATTAATCATTAAAGAGGAAAAAAATAATGAATTTAGGCATAGAAGTCACAATGTTGAAACAACCGGCCAAACCTAACACTTGGATTTTTAATGGTAGTGTGCAATGATAATCTGGACCATGAGCTTTCATCCACTACCTCAGAGAGAAAATCCATCACTCAGTCAGGCTTCTGTGACTGCAAAGATGCAACCTTTATGAAGTGAGTCATCCTGTCAGGCCTGCAGCTGCTCTGATCTTCAGAACACTCTGTTCACCCACACTGACCTGGAAAATGACAAGGAACCTGCTGCTTGTCCTTGTCAGAAACATCTGTCTGCCCAGCAGCAGCCTGCTGAATTCCAGTGGAGTGGGAGAGGAGTAGCCTTAGGATCAGGAGGCCACAGCGGAGTTGCATATTTTAAATGTAATGGTTGATAAATTTGCATTTGATATACAACACCTTTTAAAATATAAACATTTGAGTCCAGGCTCCAGGCTATAACTGCTCAAAGACGTTTTGAAGAAAAATAGGAGCAGTCATGAAATATGTTAGGGAAAAGAATAAGACAGCACGGGGTGTTGGAGTAATCCTGGAATTTGTTTTCAAGTCCTTATTTTCAGGTCTCAAGATCCACATGGGCCCATACCACAGTGTCGAGCAGAGACCAGTCTAGACATCACACTCGCTTCGTTTACAAATCCATCCATTCGATAACCACTCCTCCCATTCAGTCCTAGTGGGAGCCAGAGCCTGACAAGCAATGGGCAGGATACACCCTGGACAGGACATCAGTCCATCGCAGGGCACACACAGACACAGGCACACTCACTCCGGGGCCAGTGAGCCCATCAGCACGTTTTTACTCTGTGGGAGTTAACTGGAGAAGAAGGGTAATATTTTCACAGTTACAAAAGATGGGAATAAACATTTGGAGTGGATACAATAAGTCCAAGCAGGGAGACTTTTTAAATTAGTGAATAATTTCAATGCAAATAAAAAAAGAACACTACATGGCTATCTCTTTTGTTTTCTAGTTTAAAATATAGATGGGCTGAAGTCTTCATGTTTAGGATGTCACTAGGTACTGGCTTAGTTGTATGTCGGTGATTCCAGAATGCAGTTCACCTACTGCAGATGGTAATAAAAAATACTCCTTTCTTCATTTGTGAGAGGAGATCGGTTTTCTGACATTCTCTTCACATGTAGGTCTCTATACCCAAGCATGGACACACAATTTCTATGTTCTGAGGTCCTAGATCTATGAATGAGCAGCAAATGCTCACACAGTATCATCCTTTAACCGTATTAGGAAATAATTCTCACTCAACCTGAATTTCTCTCAGCAAATCTGTGAAGTGCCATCTAACTCGTTTCCCCCTGGAACCTTTCCTTTCACGACTCGCGTCTCAAGTGTCTGTTTTCTCAGCTTTAGGATCTTGGAGACGAATGCTCTTCAAAAGGAGCCAGACAATGCCCCGATGAAAAGGTACTCTGCTGATGTCTTGGCAACATCTACTGTGCGCCGTTTCCCTCTGAGGATGTGTAGTGGCTTGGCCAGACCTCAGACAGGACCTGACAAATGAAAGGATCCTGCGATTCTCGCTGTCTTTTAAAATGCAAATGAAGGTGGCAGGCCCACCCACCTGCTTTGTGTAGAAGCTTGCTCCCTCCAGATTTGGACATTAGAGAGCAGCCTCGATTTTCATCAATCAGATGCCTCACATTTTTCATCAGGCCTTTTGTTCATAATTATGTCACGCTCTGATGTCTTGTTGCTGCATAGCAAATAGGTGTCTTTTTTTTTTCTTTAAATTATTTATCTGACACCCTCTCATTTCTACATTCACCATAAAACAGTGGTATCGTCATCACTAAAAATGTATAAATACAGCATAATTCTGCATAAATGAGTATCATTTTACATGATTTTGCACATTACCGTATGTGAAAGCAGAATTTCCACACCTTACAAAAAAATTGAGACTTTTCTATATTCTGTATTATTTGTAGCTTTGTATTAATATAGCTCACGCAAGTATATTGTGTTAATCTTTTATTTTTATTACACTAATATTGCAGAACAATTTAAAATAAAAAGTATTGATTCATCTCTGGAAAAGTAATGACAACCTAACAACCCATTCACAACCTGATTTATTTCATGCATTTTTGTGTGTTTGAGGTTATTATCTAAATACAGTGAAAACATTCTGTAACATGTCTGTTTTACAATTCACTATGAAGGAAACAGACCAGCAGAAACTGGTCTTAACAATAGTAATTGTACTGGACATTCTGATTTGAAGACATTCAGTGATAATCCATAGATGACAGCTTCGCTCCACTGGCTCCTCAGCCAAACATAGATGCCAAATGTCTGAATCTGCAGTTCCTCCCTTACTGAGCAGAATTACTGTTGCAACTACTTCATATGAATAAAATTAAAGAGATATGAATGACATTATGCAATAAATATTTTGTGATTGGATCATTGGATATGATCACCACACTCCCCTCTTAATAGATATTTCCTCACTACCTGGCCATAGAGATGAGGAAGACACTACAATGTACCTCTTTGTACAATGGGCGATGGAGCTATTATTTACTTATTTACTCTGACACAAAGGTTGTTTGCAGTGTCTCACTATAAAGTAAAAAAATCCAAGCATAATATCAGAATGCCAAATGTTTTTATAATGTGGCTCATAATACATAAGACATTAAAGGATTCTTACTTTCATGGAACACAATAACATGTTTCAAATTAATTGTTCAGAATTATTATATTAAGGACAAAAAGGACAATATTCAACATTAGCAGTGCTGGTGGGTCTAAAAAGACAATGCCTTGTGCAAATGAGTTTTAAGTAAGTGTGCTACCATGCAAGATATAGTAAATTTAAAGAGTGGCAACATGTTACAGTACTCTTTAACATCCATCAGTGCTATACTGTAGTTAACACAATCAGTTTGACTTGCTTTGCTTATTAAGTCTTCCTTCTAGGGAAAGTATACCATATGCTACCTAAGCACACTAGAATTAAACAGTGACATCACCCTTGGCTTCTGTAACCAGGATACCTTGAAAGGGCTAAAGCTGTCCAATTACAGTGTGCCATAGAGAGGATAGATAAGTAATTGCACTCAATCGTTTCTTCATTAATCTGGTCATACAGAGCAGTCTCACTGCAGTGCTGATAACTGAGAGCTCTATGGTGTGAATGAACCATATGGACATTATCCTACTCAACTGAGCATACCAAGGTGAGGCCATTTTTTATTTTTTTGGTTCAATAATTAAGAAAGTTAAGATGTTTTTTCTGTAGTATTGGTGTACATACTGTAATTGTTGATTAAAGCATGCATTCTAGTTAATGTCGCTTTAGGAAATGCAATCACAAAAATGTCTTGCTACTGACCATTTTAACACAAATTTGAGACTACAGAATTAATTAATCGGCAAAAGCTAATTTGCCAGTATATACAGTATATTGACAATTAATCTACTTGTGTGCTTATATTCTAAATGCATGTATAACTTTACTAGATATGTATTATATTTTATATATATATACTGTATGAGTATGGAACTTTGTAGAAAACAAAATGTGCAGTATTAGAGTATCCCATTTGTTCTAGAATTTTAAAACTGTTATTATAAACATACATTACTATAGGAAGCTTACGGCTATTATTTAAGAAAAAAGTTATTTTTTGTAATTAAAAGTTTTTGTTGTAAATTAATTTGACTAACATCAAATACATTGTTTTTCCTCTGATGGAAAATTCATGTAACAATATAATTAATAGAAAAAATGCACATTTAAAGCTTTACACAAGGCAGTCTTTAACAATAATAACAAGGCTCAGATAAAAGAATTAGATGTAAAAAAACAAATGATAAAGATATTCTTTTCAAATAAAAGGTTTTATTAAAAAAATCATCATAGTCGAAACTGGCTAAATATAATTGGCCTTCTATAAATCACTTTATTCTGTTTCTATGTTTTCATTCTTGATTCTACTGCTACTGCAACTCTTGTGTGCTGCGGCACATCATTAAGATATCCCCCCAAAACAATCACAAAATGTGTGCATTTCTTAATAAGGTGAACTGTGCCTTTATGTTCTTCAAATGTTCTTCAAAATCAACGTTGATAATGACGGTCGAATCTCAGTAGCAGGGAAGGATGAGAAATTCCATGAAAACCTGAGTATAACTCAAGGCATTTTTCATTCTTCTGCACACAATCCTGTTCTAGATACAGCCCACACGAGGTACTGTTCGCTCAGTGTCTGTAAAACCCATTTCAATGTTTGTTTCTTACTCACAGCCTTGAAAAAATGAATAAGTGCTAAACCCCCTTTCTATTTACAGCTTGGCATAAAAACAAAACCCTTTTCAACTCAAAATATTTGACATTTGAAATTCTTTTATATACTGGTATTTTGTAAAGTTCTGGTTACACACTGTTTCCTAACCAATAAAATAAAAAGCAAGGCTCTGTAAACTGTCCTTGAGGTACAGTATATGTTGAATGATTTCCTATAACCAATATTATTACTATTGTGTATATTATTGTACCTATTGCATATATTAAATATGGTATATATTTATAGCAGGTTCACTGACATTGAACAGACATGGCACAGATATGCTAATTATTCTGATGAAAATGTCTAATCAACAGGGTACGGTTAAACAAGAGGTGGTCAACTGTCACAATCACAAGCTGTAAGTGTGAATGACTGGAAAGGATGAAACTGTAAATCTGCAACACATGCTTTGCACTTGGTTACAGATGATGTCTGCTGGCATTCCGTCCCCCTCCTCTCATAAAGCCTCTCTTGCTGACCGGTCTCTGAATCCTAGATGCCACATGCCCTGCCAGTTCAGTGGCCTTCACATCTGGAGAGTAGTTGCAACCTCTCATTTTGTGGCTCTGTGGTTGAGGATCTGCGCCTGTGGCTGGAAGGTTGCCGGTTTATATCCCGTGGCTGGCAGAGGAATCCTACTCCACTGGGGCCCTGAGCAAGGCCCTTAACCCCAACTGCTCCAGGGGCGCCGTATCAATGGCTGACCCTGCGCTCTGAGCCCCAGCTTCTCTCCCTGTCTGTGTGTCTCATGGAGAGCAGGTTGGGGTATGCGAAAAGACAAATTCCTAATACAAGAAATTGTATATGGCCAATAAAGTGATCTCTTGTCTCTCTCTTATTTTGTGAGAAAGTTGTGGTCACACAAGCAACATAAGGACACGTGTTTCCAGCTGGAATGTTGTCACATCAGCACAAGCCTGCAGCAAGAGCAGCAAGTAAGGTGCCAGGGTGTAATATACAGTGTGTAGAGCCATGCAGTCAAGTTGGCAATCAGACACAACAACAGGTGAACGTCTGGAAGGAGCAGTTAGACGATGGATGGTTGGGTGAATGGTGGGTGAGATTCTCCTATCCTGACCATCACACTTGTATCATCACACCAATCTTGGTGTTAGTGCCAGAGAGTGGCGACTTGTGGTCGCCCAGATCGTAGTCTATGATTAATAAGCTCTGTTTGCCTGCAATATCTTGCTAAGCTAGAGGTAATTAGCTCTCAACCTCTAATGTTGAGTGTCAGTGTGTTGACTTAGTCCAGCCTCCAACACAGAAGTGGCACAAATGAATTGTTCTCTTAATAAGTAGGGCATTCTACTTTCTTGATTTTCACCAGGCTTGACATTCAACAGATCAAATCCAGCATTGGGGAAAGTTACTCTTAAGAAGTACAGGATACACGAAAATACATTTTAACATGAAGCTGAGGGAAAATCATTTTAAAACTTTACATGGCTTTACATGGCTTGGCACCTCAATACCTGTCTGAACTTTTATCGCCCTACTCCCCACCTCGCAACCTCCGCTCTTCAAATTCTGCCCTCCTTACTGTCCCCCAAGCCCGTCTACATTGTATGGGCGACAGGGCCTTCTCCTGCTATGCCCCCAAGCTCTGGAACTCCTTGCCCAAGGATATTAGAGAGTCACCTTCTCTAAACTCCTTCAAATCCAGACTCAAAACCCTCCTTTTCAGAAAAGCCTTTACTTAACTGGTTCCATTCTTCACCCCTCTGCTCTTCTTAATACCATCTTCCACGGTCTCCTCTATTGTTATTGTTGTATTGTTGTAATTATAATTGTGTCCTGTCTTGTGAAATTTTCTTATTTATTGTTGTAGTCTTCTTATTTATTGTTATTGTCATCCTGTAAAGCGCTTTGAGAAGCCACCTTTAAAGGCGCTATATAAAATAAAGTTTATTATTATTATTATTATAAAACGTAGTAAGGTGTAGAGAATAGTGTAGCGTGTGTAAAGTTACTGTGGCCAGTAAGGGCTCCCCTCTCTCACAGCGACACAGCGCTCACTCTGGCCTCTGGGTGCTCACAGGCGAGCGGCTCTTCTCCAGTCGGGCTGTGGGCGGTGGACTGTGTTGCCTATGAAGTTAAAGGATAAGTGACCCAGGTGTGAGGTGGGCAGTTCAGAGGAGTCTTCCTATAGTACACTTCCTAATTACTCCCCAGTTGCCCCAGTGTGTGACTGGGGTTTTTAGCAGTGAGACCAAACATTAAAAAAAACAACACATCAAGTGGATATAATGAAAATAATAGGAGAGATTCTACTACTTTTACTATATTTTTTTAATGCTAAGGTTCACCTCTGAATCCCTTATATGTTAACATTGTACTTATTAATGATCAAAAAATTTAAATACCGTTGACTCTATTTAATCTATATCCAATGTATACCTTATTTTCTTAAAACCCTAACAACATAAATACAGCAGAGTGATGTATTTCTACTAATGCTCAGCACACTTTGTAGATTTGATAATGTACTGCACATTGTCACCGAGTTATTTTACTGATGGGTTTTTGGTAGGAACGGAGGCTGAGGCATGTGGCCTATGTTGTAAAAAATGTTTAAATCTTTTTGTCCCCGGTGTATTTTGAACTGTATCGTTTAAAACAGTATGGGTGTTGTACAAATCTGTAACACCATCTTTTTAGCCTACAACTACTGCCGATTCAAACTACACTTACCAGCATTCCACTCCTGTCGCGTTTTTTTGAGCGAATTGGTTGCCCACGTGAGCCTCTTCCAGCTGTGTCCAGATAGAAAGAGTGAATGGCGAGAGGGTTTGTGCTTAATTTATTTTGTGAAAGGTCAAAACATTTATTTAGGTGCCGTATTCATTTGAGAAATGTGTTTTCCAGTCGCTTTGTATAGGGCTACGTACAAATGCTGTGCATGCAATTTGTAAAAATATGGCCATATTCACTGCGTTATCACTACAGCTGATAATGGTACTGCAGTAGCTAAGTTTGGACTGGTATATTAATTCCTTTGTGCATCACTAATAAAACAGTTAATTAATACTTTACTAACTTCGACAGGAAAATCGAGCGAATAGTGTGATATATGGACTGAAAGAGTATAGAAATATCAGCAATGTAATTTCTGTAATGGCATTTTTGTGCCCGTTTATTTTTGAACGTTGCGTGGGAGTCAAGTTATTTGTACCGTCGGTATTATACATTTGTAACATTATGCATCATTTTTTAGAATAAATCCAAAATGTAATTTTCCAAGAGGTGCATTTGTAGAATAAATAAACTGTGCGCACAGCCAGTGTTTGCCGGTACTGCATTTGTAGGATCTTGTTTGATAAAATGAGACTGATTAAATTTTCTGTATTGTCGGTATTGTCACGGTTTTTTCTCGGTAGCTGTCGTGGTAACGAGCATTCTTGTGTTCATTCATTCTTTTGTTCCTTTGCATATTTTTTAAAAAGGCGTTGTTTTTCAGATGTAGATCAATAACTCAGTATTTACTCTTGAATGTGCATTTTGCTGATTAACTGTTGAGTTCTATTTGACGCTTAGAGTACTCTTTAACGGGGTTAAAGCACAGTAGCAAGAAAATTGGACCCCCATTAGGATGAGCCTATGATCAACAAGAAGACTTTCCTGTTTATTTACTGATCTACTCCAGTGCTGTTTTTTCCTAACTTTTTTCCCTTTCCTTAAAACGTTACGTTTTTTTAACAAATAAGACACAATCTAGAATGCCCAAAGGTGATAAATAATAGATCTTTGTAGTTTTTTCTAAGATTCAAGGTTGTCGTCCTGATAAGGTGTATTCCTTAATTGATTCGTGTATCTTTTGTGAAGTTTTTCCAAACTCCTATATAAGTGTGTTTTTATTCTTTAAAGATTGTGTTCCGGTTGTAAAAATACAATCTCAATTTCTTTTAAAAGCGAGTTTATACCAAAACATTAAAACCCGAACTCTTCTTTATGTTTACAGGAGGACGGAAGATGGAATCCATAGAAAAATGGAACAAAGACTTTATAGCACTTAAGCTGTTGGATAAAAAGTTACATTCTAAGAAGAATGGCACTACAGGTGATTAAAGAAGCACTTAGATGAAAAACCTTCTGGAAGACAAAGCCCTGACTATAAGAATCATGCAGTTTTCTGGAAAGCATTTTATATCTGACCTCTCCTACATGGAAAAATAGACTGTATGAACAGTGTGTTGTCACAGAAATCTTTAACTTCCTTTCCAGGTGGTTAAACAACTGGTTTCATAGCTTGTCATTGGTAAATGACAATCTCACTCCCTGTAAAAAATAATATAATTGAATTATGAGTTCTCTGTTAAAACATATTATATGAATGCTTACAGGTGAAACCAGTGGGTGGTAATTAGGTAAAACATCATGTTGCCGACAGACAGATATAAAATGATTTATTTCCTATTTATGTGCATATTTAGTGAGTTTTTTTGTTTGCAAAAAGGCAATATAGAAACTGGCATAAATGACAAAAGCTTACCTTTGTTTCAATTTGCGTTTCTTGTTGACTAGTAGTTAAAATATGGTGATTGCTGAAATGGCAAATGTAATTTCTTGATGCACAAACCTGATCACTTTCAAGTGTATGTGAGCTCTAGGCTCTTATACCTGGAATCCAGTAAAATTGTTTGTATTTTTGCAGTATTTTCAAACATTCTGTGTTGACTTGGAGTATGTGTGAAATTTCTAACATAATATTAAAATGTTTCACTTTGTCTCATATGTACAACAACTTGCGGTTTGCAAAATCTGAAAACAAATGTGTTCATTATGCAGTCTTATCGGCTTTCCTCAAAAGCCTTCACAACACCAGTGCATTTGTTTTTCAGATTTTGTCGGGCATTGTCATAACTCTTGTGGAATTGGCTGAGGTACACACGTGGTAAAGCTACCTGCAATTTGAAGGCTCTCAGAACTTTTCTCTTGTTTTGCAGGCATGATTGTTAAGCATCTCCATAATACCTTAACGATTCACGCGTGTTCACTGCCATCCATTGCTCGTTCGGAATGCGCTACTGGTAAGTCAGGGCACCTGCTGGGCCTGTGGCTGCTCATCTGAAACAACTGTGCGCTGTGAATGGGTTCATTCCCATACAATACTGCTATAGGGCGGGCCTGCAAACCTTTTCAAAAACCTAGAAAAGCACAGGTAAATTGAACAAAAATAAATTCACATCTTTCATTTTGTTTGCACTGTTTGATGCAACTCCTTTCTCTTTTAAGGGCCTTGTTGCTGGGGTTTGCAACTTTTGTATGGAAACAGTTTCCAGGAATCATTGTGAAAAAAAATACAATGAAGCTTAAGTCACGGGCTTCAGAAGCTAAAGGCCATGGTGGTCAGAACACAACCTATTTTGTTACACTGACATGTGGCAGTGAAGCTAGTTGTGGTCACAGCTTTTATCAGTCAAATTAAGAGGAGCACCACTAAACACAACCTTGTTTTACAGATGGGCTGTTCATAAGGATAGCATCTTATCTTTTCTAATTAGTTTCAGTGACATTGGCAAATATTGATGTTCTCCTAGCCCACTTTTTAACTAACTTGTGACCTGTTGTGAGTCACAACAGACATTCCGTGTTAATTATTAGCAAGGCACTGTGAAAGAAGCTTTTGTCCTTTCTGAGCCTGGGCCCACAGTTACATTTGATTCTGTCTTTAATCTCATTTGAATGTGGTTGATTATACCAGACTTTACCAGAGGCATTAACTCTGATCCTATATTGTATCAGGAAACAATGCAAATCATGTTGATGGTAAGACTATATTTATAATGAATTTAGGTTTGTGATGGGCATTATTTACAGTTTTTAAGTCTTAATTTATTAAGGTCTTAGTCGTTTGTTGGTATGACATCAGATTTTATTCTATATTTTAAAAATGCAGTATGACTGGGAGTCTTTAAAACAGCACCACACAGGTACTTAAGGCCCTACAAATATACTTCCATATTTAGAAAATCAAATACTTTTTTAATGAAAAATTTTAAGTCCTGGTTGCAATACCTTTAACTACTGCCATGCTGCAACATGAAAACTGTATTTCAGAGATTGGTTCCATGATTTCAATCACAATAATTACTTATGTTTTAACTTTTGTATTCAGCGTTAATATTCTTCATTTTTGATTTGGGTTAAGAATACAATAGAATTAATAAACCATCCCAATGCTCAATGTTTTATCCTTCAAACACATTGCTAATATAAAGCTTGCAAAGGAGAATACAGTGCATTCTCCAATATTGAGTTGTATAATTTGTGATGGTAACTAAATAGAGACTAACACCCTTAATTCAATAAATGATTTAGCCTATGGGTCTTTTCAAAGATCTTGGGTTAGATTGGAGAAAAAAAATGAAATAGTGTGATTTTGGTAATTAAAAGCACTTTGTAAAAAAGCTATTTGATGCCAGTTTTCATTATCACAGCACATAGTTTTACTATCAAGGGAGTAGGCACTTCAGAACTTGGTGTATTGATATTAGAATATTGTAAGTATGGAAACAGGATTTATCCCATGATTTGTGAAAATGTACAAGTTGGGTAACGTGCCTGTGCAGACAGCTGTAGCTGCAAATGTGATTTCTGCTACCAGATGTTTTTGCATTAAAATCTTGAATATGAACCTGGGTTTGGGAGGCTATGTAAAAAATAATGGTACCTTCAATGAGGCCTGAGTAATTTCTGTATTATTCTTTGTTTTCTTTTCCTTTGAACTCAGTATAAAGTCAATGTCAAGATCCATATGCTGTGGTAGAAGAATTAGTTATTTTGTTTAACCACCTTCTTATAACGGAAATTCATTGTAAAATGGATCCAAGACAGGGAATGTCACTGTTGTCCTCCGGGTATTTAATAAGCATGCATTTTCCAGATAAGCTTGGAAATAATTATACAGTACAAACAGGACATGCACAGGTTTACAGATTTAGCAGCTCAAAAGTTATTCAGAACTCTAAGGCTGTTTTCTTCTCCTGATTCCTGATTTAAAAAAAAATAGATTTGAAGGGAACTGTGCATGAGATGTGCCCTCAAGATTGTGAAAAAAGCCAAGAGACACTCACTCACAATCATTATCACAAGAATCAGAACTGGAGATTATGAAGGTCTCTATAGTTAATGTAGTTAAATATCAGTTTGCTTATCATCAAGGGCTTCTGTGTTCAATCACCAGTTCTTGCTACCCACACTTAAAATTAGCATCACAAATATTCCAGGTCTAGGTTTTACAGCTGTGATTCATTGGCATGTTCCCACTTGATATTTTATGACAGTTGTGCTATTTGACCAGTATCCTCTTACAGTGTTCTTATAAGGCCTCCCCTGTCACATTGTGCACATTTGCGTGCAATATGTTATTGTAATGCTTTTCATTCTGCTGTTGATTAGAATATTTTACAGCAGTTAAACAAATCTTATGTAACAACCATAGACTTGATATTCTAAATGTGTATTGGTGGGAGGTTATGAATATTCTCATCTAACCCTTCAGCTGATGTAATTCAGATTTCCGATGCAGTATGTGTCCATTCCTGTCAGTTTTCATCCCAGTAAGTGAGTTTTGAGGGAACTGTTCTTGAGTGAATCCGTCTTACTCCTTCTGGAGAGGCTGTTTGTTAGCAGTAGTTTTTAATTAAAGCCTTATGGGTAAAAGACAACATTTAATAAGTGTCCCACCAAGTTACAATTATACTTAATTAAGTCAGCAATGGCTTGAAACCTAAAATATGCTTTTGTATGAAGTGTGATAGGTCTTTTACTAAGCAATATCTATGCAATACCCTTATATGGAGTGATTTAATAATTTAAATATCCAACAGAGTAGGTTATAAACGAAAACTTTGTCAGGGATTGCCGTCAGGCTATGTCCGGTAAGCCTGGGAGTCTCTCATCGATTGCGATCGCTTTGTGGTTTCGTTCCAGGTTCCTGTCCGAACCTCATCATGAGTAGCAGCGAGCAGCCTGAGCAGAAGCCAGCAGGCATGGCCTTGACTCCCCAGCTGCGGGTGCGAGCCCACCGCCCCCTCTGCCTGTCGGTGTCGTCCGACAGCAGCGGCAGGTTCCGGGCCCTGGAGACGCAGGACTGGAAGAACAACCTCAAAGCTCAGGTACTCCCACCGGTTCGGGGGTGGGAGGTCCCGGCCGCAGTGGGGCTCGTTTCTTGTTTCAGAGTGAAACAAATGGAGGTGTCATTCTCTTGGGAGGGCTGTGGCAGGGAACTTGTAAGCCTAGCTGACTGCAATTTCTATCGAGTTCTGTGGTGCTAGTTGTCCGCTGTGGAGAGGTGAGATGTGGTACACATAGCATTGGAGCCATGGGGAACACATTCCGTTGCACTACAATAGTACTGACCAGTGGATGCCAGCATCATTTACGTTAGGAATGTATCTTCGTGGTTTGTCCCATCACTGCCCGTAAGACTGTGTTCCCCATAATACAGTATGTATCAAATTCTCAATCGGTGGTACACAGTTTATACAATATTTGTTTGAATAGGTCAGAAATTTCTTAAAGATCCAGTAAGTCCAAGACAGTTCTTTGTACACAGGATTCTGGGAGTCTAGAACCAACTTCCAGGACATTTGGCTGAAGTTAAGCCATGGGAACATAATGCTGCTATTGGCTAGATAAGCCAATAAGCTTCTTGCGTAATCTTCTTGTGTTCTAGCGTTGTTGTAAGCATTGTTTACTGTTACTTCCTGATCTCACATCAACAAGCCACATTGTTTACAGTTAAAGTCCAGAATGCACATTTAAATCTCACTTTACTGTTCTTGATTATAGGGACAAATATGAGATGCCTTCTGTTCAACGTTGTTTTTTATTTTTAATTCTAATTTATTGTTGGAAACAGCAAGGAAAGCTTCGTCCATTGTGTTAAGTATTCAGTGCTGTATTTATGCCGTGATATTTGTAATCTGCTTGATTTATAAAACTGTGGCTTCTTGTGTGACAGGAGTATGAGCTGATCTGTCGAGCCTCTTTCCCTGTAGATGGAGCAGGCACACAGTGCAGGAGCAGCCAGCAGCACCGGTTCCCTGGAGAGAGCCTCTCTCTTCTGTGCCTCGGGCTCGAACAGCAGCTCCAGTCTGCCCAGCCCCGTCGAGACCCTGACGAAGAGCAAGTCCTCCAGCCGCTTCTCCTTGTTCTCTCCCCCCTGGAACAGCAGCTCCGAGTCGGACTCCAATCTCCCTTCCAGGTCGGGTTCGAAAAAGCTCCGCAACAGCAGCAGGAGAGGGGGGAGCAAAGGGGAGGACACCTTGGAGGCCAAGCAGAGCATCCCCGAGCATTTCCACTACTCCGAGCCGGTCATCTCCAAAGTGACAGACTACATCTACGTTGGCAACCTCAATGCGGCCTATAGCGGGCGTATCCTCTGCCGGAACAACATAGACAGCATTATTGACATGAGCAGCTTACCGGGGGAGCAGAAAATGTGCCTCATCCCCTGTACCTGCTCTCGAGGCACCAAGCACAGCTGGTCACGCCTCAAGGTGGACATCAGTGGCCTGTGCAATGGGGAGACGGAGGCCCTGAAGCAGCGCTGCTTTGAGGACATCAACGAGTGCATCAACGCCTCGACCGAGAAGCGAAAGAGGGTTCTGATCCACTGCAGGGATGGGTACTCGTTGGCTCCCACTTGTATAATCCAGTACCTCATGGTTAAGCAGAACATGAGACTGATTGCGGCTTACGAGTTCCTCAGAGCCAAATACCCTGTCAATATTCAAGAGTGTCATCAGAACATACTGGTTAACTTGGAGAGGTTGCTGAGGCCAGGGTGCAATGTGGACCCAGAGTGTTTCAAGCAAGCCATTTCCAGGAAAATGGCCTGGACTTAACGTAGCTTTTTTTTTTCCAGTGAAAAAACTGAAGGCTTCCCTCTTTTCAGCTATAGTGAATAAGATGTTCTAGTGTCGAGTTGCTCTGGTAAAAAAAGACCTGCACTAAAAATGTTCGCTTTTAAAATGGATATCCTTGAGTGCATCACTGACTTGAGCCCGTGTGCTCTGTGACAACCTTTTTAATGGGATTAAAAACCAAGAGATTGAACATTTGTTGGTAGTCCAGATCAATTTGGAAATGATGACTCTATCTTTTAGTTTATTACAGGACACACGTAAAGTAAGTAGACTTGAAAGACCTGCTGTTACATTTTTGAGGACAGGAAGATGAACCGTCTTAACAACACCTATCAGGGGAATTTTCATATATGTGATCTCAGGGGACCAGGTGATGTCAGTCAGACATGGCTGCTGGAAGAGGAGGTAGAAGACTTAAATGCTGACCAGGTTGTTGAGCTGCAGGACATGGTTCAGAGGGCATTGTAAGATCCTGAGACTGTATGAAAGCTTATTTTTGAAGACAGAAAATGCAGGCGTCAATTTAAATTCTTATTATAATTGCATACCACTGTGTCCTGATCTAGTAGTCAGTGTTGCATAAATGATGTGTGGTAAAATGAACCAAGAATGTCTCTGTGACACTTTTAATCGCCTGGCAGTTTTTTTCTCAGTTGGTGTAAATTATTAATTATACCAGCATATCTGGATATTGGATTCTGAGCTCTGGATTTTTATGTCTGTCATGGAACAATACCAAATTCATTTAAAAATGGAGACATAAGAATTGGAAATTATGTTAGACAGATTGTCATAGTTTCAGTCCTATTGATGGCTAATCTCAAGTGCTCCTTTATTGTACTCCAGGAGAAGGACGAGCTTCTGGTTGAACCCTCTGTCCATGTTTGCTATTGTGTATTCACTGCATTGGTGCATGAGGGACTTTTAACTGAGCAGTTCTTGTTATTTTTGCTAAATTGGTATTTTTGGAAATTGATTTCTGAACTGCAGAACCCCCTGTTATCACTTTCTAATGAAAGAGCCTTGGAATATTTATATAAAGAAAAACACCTGACCTGCATTACAAAAATTCAACTCTTTACATGTCAACGTTAAAATGTAATCTTGGTAGTAAAGTTTTCTTTATTTTAGAAGTTTTTAAATGATTGGGATGCATTGACACTTTATGATTCAAAGGAGAAGTGCTGCTGTGGCAGAAAACCTTTTCAAACCAGCTGTATAGATGTGTCACCTGTGTGTTTTAATGGCCCCTTCATTTATAAGAACCTGAATAGATGAAGTAACGAGTGGAACACTTCTGTAAATAAAGGAAGGTTGTGAGCTATGTTGTTGAAAAAAGGAGGATGTTTAGTTGATTTTAAGCAAATTATCATAGACATGGGGCATGTAGTAGTAAAATAACACTGATTTAGATATTACCTATAGATTTTATTTGAAATGAAACCTTACTGGCCCTTGCTACTTGTCTGCTTGCTTTCAGCCTGGCACTCGGCAGAGGTGTAAATCCTTCAGTGCCGATCTGTTTCTGTATTTACATTTGAAAGGCTGCAAATCAGAAATTTAGACATCAGAGTAATACATAGGACAAAAGGGATCATGTTTGTCAATAATCTGCTAAAAGTACTGTTCAATAAAGACGATATCTTGGCATTCTTCTCACTGTAAAACAGGGAAACAAAGCAAGAGTATTTTGCCCCAAAAACTGGTACAATACTAGTTTATTTTCACACACACATTCTTCACATGACAAAAGTTTTGTTGCAGTTTAAGGGTTCTGCAGGTTTGGCTGTACAATGGAATCCTAATGAGCAAACAATAGAATGTTATGGTTATCTATTTTACCTTATGATTAGTTTTATTTTATTGTCATCCCCAGATTTTGTAGCTGACTTACCGGTACCTTGAGCACATCGACAGTGAAACTGTTAGTCATTTTTCCCTTCACAGTGTGTAGAATGTCTGCTCTGGTTGGTGCCTTTTTTATATCTGTCCTGTGTTTGTGCTCAGACACAGACACGTGCTGTATGGAGCTGCAGTTTCAGATTTGGAGCTTGATGCTGTATGCTGCAGACACTGATGGTATAGTTTCCTCTGTCAAATGCCTTGTGATGTAATGCCTGGGTGCAGATTCAATCCAATTCAAAGGTATTGTAATATTGTAAACTCTGTGTAATAAAGTGGTCTGTATAGTGCCAGTAATTTTTTAACAATGCAAAATGTGGTGACCAATGAAAGACATCATATTTCTGTTTTTGATGCTGAATAGGTGTTTTACACATTTTAAGTTTTCCTAAAAATTCCTTAGTTTTATTTTCAAGTAGGCTTTCTTGTTTATAATGTTCCTTAAAATGAACTGCTGCAGGTTTCTTCATGTCATTTACGGTAGCTAGGTGTAAGGACTTCCACGCTCAGGTGATTTTTGTAGACGGAATGTGTTGGTGTCCTCGTTCGGACTGGAAAGATGTTTCTTTATGGAATCTGTGAAGCAATGTACTGTCTGTATCATACATACGAGGCCCATGTATTTATATATGGAATTTTAAACATTAAAAGTGAAGTGCTGAATTGGTTCCCCTTTCATAGTAAGTTAATTCTCTAGTGTTATTTTTGGGAAAAAAAAGGAAAACAATGAGAGAGGCTTAGACCTTCAGTTTTTTCATCTTATTTTGCAGTCGCATGTGCAGATATCACTCCTATGCTTTATATACTGTATGCTCACAGGCTTGGATACTAGTGGGTGACTGCTAATCCAGGCATCTCCTGTCTTTCACACATCATGACCCTGTGACAAATGTGCTGAGGAGAAGATTTGCCTTAGCCACTCTCCACCTGGCTCAGAGAGGCACATGGTTAGCAAAGAACAATTGAATAAACACTGGACAAGTTTAGATCACAACATGAGTGCAAAGGTCAGGGGATTTTGCTGCCTGTATGTTCCTTTCCCGAGATGCCAGGTGAAAAGCACAAAACTGGCCATCAGAGATCAGCCTGGGGTCAGTTTCATGCTCTGGATCATTAGTTTACTAAATTTCTGGATATGCATTAGTTTTTAATTTCTGTCTGATTTAAATATTATACGGTGCCACTCAAGACTAACAACTAACATTATAGAACTGGACCTACGGTGTACCCACATTTTGTAATGGGAAAGGTGGTCCTTTTTATCTTTACAGATTTATAGTGGTCTACAAGTGTAGATCTGTATTGAAAAGAGTGCTCTTTTAATAGTTTAGGCAAGGTGGTTCACTGTGATCTGTTCTATGTTTTACCATAAGGTGGTGCTGAAATTCTTCATTTCAGGGATTATTAGGGATATTTAAGGGATTGTATGTGAATTAAAACCAAACCACTGATTGAAGACAGTTTACAATAACATGTAAATATTATATATATACTGTATATATTTATACATACATGTTATATAACATATTTTTTTCCTGTTTCGCAGGCTATGCCATTAGTTTTCCTTTTTTCCTTATACTGAAGCCTACTACTTTTTGCCCGGTCATGGTTATCAAACTAAAATGCTGTGCATTTGAAAACCAGTCCATATTGATGCATGGCTGTGTTTGTTGAAGTATTTTATTTTGGCACACCGTGAAGTCTTAGAAGACATCTTGAAGGAAGGGTTATTTATAATGAAGGGGACAGAGGGGGTTGCTAGTATTTCAGGGGTCTGCCATGCAATTGGTTAGTGGAAGAATCCACTTCCATAAACAGAAAGGTGGGGTTTTGCTGAGCCATCATAGGAAGCCATTTATACCTTCTTAGCATTTCAGCTGCCTGTGGCTTGCCAGTCGTTTCCATCCCTCCACCAGGTCTGTCCTGCTCCTGCTCTTCGCTCGTAGGTGAGTTTTTAACCTTCAGTTACTGTGCTGGGGCTTTTACTGCCCTGCCCTGGTTTTACAGTCAACCGGTGGAGAATATTGATGATGTATGTGTTGTGCAAGCTGGATTTTCATTTTTGTGGTGTTATACAGGAGGAAGGGCCAGCTACAGTGAGAGAGTGATGCCCTGGAGTACTGCCGTTATGCAGTCATCGTTTGGTTTAATGAATGGAATGAAGCAAAGATTAACTTGTTTTTGCCTATTTAAAATTTGTTTTCAATTAATTGTGTATTAGTTACAGTGAGCAGTGTGTTTTGTTTTGGTGCTGATGGTTTGAAAATGGGGAATCTTCTCACAAAACGAAATTTCGCCAGTCTCACTTGCTCAGCATTTCAATGTGAAGGCTAATAATGTCTATTAATAAGTCTGTTTTTGGAATGTATTCCTTTGCTTTCGTTACAGTGTGTAGAATTTGAATGTCAAAATAAAAGGCATTTTTAAATTATCCAGGTCCTTTGGATGATTATACACACCCTATTCCAGAAGTGTCGATTATGGCCTGCGGTGGTCTTGTGCCTTAATGGTCTTAAAAATGCCAAAGATGTCCTTCTAGAAGCCAGACGTGGTGCCACCTGTCATGGTGTCAGGTTTTAATGCCTCCAAGAGGCAGGCCTGCCATAGCAAAGACAGTCCAAGACAGCTGACCCCTTTCATCTGCCCAAATTTAGAAGCACTTTCTTGCTCTTAGGTGCCCAAGCTGTGGATCTGAAATAGCCCCCCTTGGAATGCTAGGATGTACTGTAGCGGTTAACATTATTGCTTTATAATTTATTGGTTTGTGCTTCCTCATTTTGATTTTGTTCATAAAGGCAAATGACTCAAGTAATCAGTAGCCAAAGGTCTATAATGTCATAATGTGCCAGTGTAATATATAATAATGACTTTATATTTATGAGGGACATTTAAAGCATGCATTTAATTGAATTGTAATACAAGTATAGTTTGTTTTCTTCCATTTTTTTATCACAGGTTGTGAAAACAAGATCAAGTCAAAATGTCGGAGTAAGTATTTCTCTGTATACATTTTTAAGTCTCTGTATTCTCCACAGTATCAGTTATTATAACCATTCTTCTTTAGCTGTCTTTTGGATAATTACTTTCTTCTGGACAATGTAAGGCATTTTATCTCACAAAATAGTCCGACTTCCCCTCCATACAATTCTCCCAGTTTCTGTTTAACTCAGAATAAAATCTGATAGAAGAAAGGGTGAGATATGAAATTTGTTAATTTCCAAGAGGACATATGAAGTTTGCTATATAATGCTTAAACAAGAGAAATATATTGTTTATAGCTATACTTGTAATCTTTATTTTAAATGTCTAATCCATCAAATATTTTATTCAGATTAAGGCCACCTATCTAATAAACTTTGCTTGGTTTCAGACAACAATATCCATTTACTTTTTTGGTTTTGGTGGTGACATGGATCATGTTTTTTTTAAAGAATATTTTAAAAGGTGAAGACACTTTTCTCTAGATTGCAGTGGTGCTATGCATTGTAAAAAAGAAAAGAAGCAGGCCTTTTTCTGTCTCCAGTTGCAGGTCAAAGGTCAGAAGTTGGCAGTTCATGTGCTTCTGAAGCCATTTATTCCTAGTTTCAAGAAATAAAATCTGTCCATTCCTTGATTTCTCAAAGCAAATTGGGTTTAAAATGTCTTGCTGATTCCTCGACACTTTGTTTTTGTTAAACTTATCTGAACAGTGAAATGTGATGAACTTATGCTGTTTTTTCAATCTTTTTAACTTAAAAGGAAAAAGATGTCAACCAGCCGAAAACAGCATCTGAAGGTAGGGTACTTTTCAAAACTAAATTTCAAGAAACAAACCTGATGGTAACTCTTTCTCTAAATTGTACAGAGCTGTATTCCTGCCATATTTAGAAAATCAGTACAGTTGTATAAAGTCTCTGAAAGATATAGTCTGGTGAATGCTCAAACAGAATTTAAAAATGGTTGTCAGGCAAACACATTTTAAAAAATGCAATAATATATACTGTTTATTCACCATATGTTTCCCCTTGTGTGTGTATATATATATCATAGCCTTGCAAAACAGTACACTCTGATTGGTTAAAAGTATTATGAATTATGGTAAGGGGACTATATAACACTACATCTGCCAAATATCTTTGGTATTGTTGTAATTTAAAAAGTGTGTTATTTGCTTTCAATGATTTTTCTTCACCAAGTCAGAGATGTTTATATTTAAAAATTAATAAACTACTCTGTGTTCAAGTGGCTTCCTTGATATAACATCCCTTACCCTGGAGTGGTTGATGAATTCCTAATGCAAGAAATTGTATATGGCTAATAAAGGCCTGAAGCAGACTGCCACCTCCTGTGTGGTGTACAGTATTTCATAACATAACATCACTTTATTAGCCCCATACAATTTCTTGCTTTAGGAATTCGTCTTTTCGCATATCCCAGCTTGCTCTCCATGAGACACAGACACACAGACAGGGAGAGAAGCTTGGGGTCAGAGCGCAGGGTCAGCTATTGTACAGCACCCCTGGAGGAGTTGGGGTTAAGGGCCTTGCTCAGGGGCCCAACGGAGTAGGATTCCTCTGCTGACTGTGGGATTTGAACCAGCAACCTTCCAGCCACAGGCGCAGATCCTTAGCCACAGAGCCACCGCTCTGCCCGAGTAATGGTGTACCCAGAGAAAAGTAAAGAAAAGTGAAGGCAAGCCAAATAATTCGGAGAGAGTAAATGCTGGTGATAACATTGGCAGGAATGAGTCCAACAAAGAGTTACAACAGTGTTAGAAGGAGAGAACATTGGACAGAATAATTAATAAGAAAGGGGAAATTTCTGCAAATGGCCTTGCTCAGGGGCCCAACAGAGTAGGATTCCTCTACCGGCTGCGGGATTTGAACCGGCAAACTTCCAGCCACAGGCGCAGATCCTGAGCCACAGAGCCACCGCTCCGCCCCCATAGAAGCTAGCAAGACCATTGTGGTTTATGGTCAAATCCAGACTAGCTGAGAGTATCACATATCTCATAAAAGCATATAGTTATCTAACTGCCCCTGTCTGATATGGCTCTAACGAAATGCACATCATTCTGGCTTCCAGAGTTTGATGCTTCAGATTGCTAAAACAGAAATCGAGAAGGAACAAACTGAGAGAGAAGCAGAGAAGAAGAGGTATCTGGAAGAGCACTGCCCTCCACTCTCCATGGGTGGATCCCTTCAAGAATTGCAGGTGAACTGCAAACTCTAAATGCTGTCTGTATCAGTTGAGGCATAAAGAACCACAAGAACATTTTACAAATGAATCTAAGAGCCGAATCGTTTGTTTCGGTGTACCTTTTGTGCATGTAATGTTTTAAAGTTCTGGGTGATTTGATGAATTATCTGTATTGAACAGAAATCACCTCCTCAGCATCACTGAAAAAACAGTAGAATATATGTAATATTAAGATCTGTTCTGTACCTGAATTATGTGGAGCCCTATGGATGGTAATTTTCAGAGAGGTAGAGCCGAAATAGTTCTCTCTTCCAAGTAGCTCGAGGGCACTTTCATGTGATGAAATGGGTTCAGATTTTTCTGAGATCAGAATACTGGCAGTTACAGGATCTAACTCTTGAATATCTGCTGAAATGGTTGTCTTTTCTCACCAGGAACTGTGCAAACAGCTCCACACCAAGATTGATGTCGTTGATGAGGAGAGGTATGACTTGCAATCCAAAGTTAACAAGTCTGCCAAGGAGGTAATAATAATAATAATAATAATAATAATAATAATAATTAATAATAATACTTGTTACTCCTCTAACAAAAAATATTTTTGAAGTGTTCTTTGACTTGTAAGATTAAATAAGACATTTAATAAGCCTTAGGTGTTTTTGCAGCCGCATAGTTTAATTTAATGATTTTGAACTTTTTTATTGAACATCTTAAATAATCAAGACATTTCCATAAAGATCCTTAGTGCTTAAGTTGATCACTAATTACTTTCCTTACACTGCATTCTGAATTATACAAAAATAGTTTATTTAACTATTCAAACTCTGATTGAGCAACAAACTGTATTAAGACGCATATGTAAAAACAACAACCTACATTTTAGAGCATGTGATAGCATGGTTTGTTGTTGGCGAGGATGAACTCAGACATCCTGTCTTCTCTGACAGATTGAAGACCTGAATATGAAAGTGTTTGACCTGAAGGGTAAATTCAAGAAACCAGCTCTGCGTAAAGTGCGTATGTCAGCTGACGCTATGCTGCAGGCACTGCTAGGCTCCAAGCACAAGGTCTCCATGGATTTGAGAGCTAACCTGAAACAAGTGAAGAAAGAGGAGAAGGAAGTAAGTGCATTCTGGTTTGCTGAGCGGTGAAAATTAAGGTAGTGCAATATGGAACAGCACAAGAGTCAGGGACATCAGTAGCCAAAACATCTCACTGCCCAACATGAATGTGGCTTTAAAAGATAAGATTTTTATTGTCCCCTGAGGGAATTTTTTTATGGACACACAGCACTCTGAAGAGAAGAAAAGAAAAACATTGCACATTATACTATTACAAAAAATAAGAAAAACATTGCACATGTACAGTGTAACATAACAACATGTAACATTTATAACATCGCAAAAACCACTCGATGTCGTGTTATTTCTTCCAATTCATACAGAAAAATACTTTTATGCAGTTTTACAAGTAATTCTGAACATGACTGCTGCGTTTTGGTCGATTGTACCTAATAGAACTTTTTCGGTAGCAGTGTTGAGCAAGCTTTAGCCAGGAAAATGAGGCTCGTTCTCTCGGCCTTCTTTCTGACCTCTCTGTTGTTTCTGCCGCGCTCTTGCAGCAAGACCTGCGTGACGTCGGTGACTGGCGCAAGAACATCGAGGAGAAGGCTGGCATGGAAGGCAGGAAGAAGATGTTTGAGGCTGAGGCCTAAACAGATCCTCAGTGGCTTGTTGTTTGTTTTTAAGACATGTCGTAGGTCAACAGTGCTCTCCATTATTTTTGTCTTAAACATATTCTCCCAGTCTTTTGTTTGCATATGGTGATGCTTTTCTGCTGGACTTTGTTAAGGGGACAAGCAAGAGGCTGATTTGGAATTTGCTGCCTGTAGCCGTTGTCTAACTTTGGGGGTCCCAAGTGTTGCCATAGCACTACCAAAACTCATCACCCTGGAAACCAGCTGTTGCGCAAAAATATATTTTGTTCAGAAATATATTTGAATGCCAAAAAAATGTCTTATGTAAATAAATAATTTAAAGAAAGCTTTCATTTTTAAGCCTTTGTGACCAGAGATCTGTTATTGCCCTGGCTACCTCTGACACTTCACATACCTGCTCAGCATCTTCAAATAAGTATTCATCATATGCTGCTATTTTATTTTAGTTTAACTTTACTTGTGTTGTCAAAATTAATTATTGGTGTTCAATCAGTATTAGCGTTTAAGCTTTCCTTTTAAATCTATACTGTCCAAAAATCCAGAAAAGAAGGAGAATTATAGTACGAATCCATTGTAAAATGGTATTCACCATTTAGGAGTCTTGTCATTAATATACACATTTAGGAGTCTTGTCATTAAAGAACACATTTACACCTTGGAACCTGCCCTACATTGTAAAAATTCACTGTTTTTGTCTTTGATTAAATTAAAAAAAATAAGATCCAAAGGTCATGTTAAAACTAAATCAATCGATGGTATTGGCATTAAACAACTATGGTCATATTTCTTCTTATGTGTGAGGTAACACTAACACTAAAATCCTATAGGAAACCAAGAAGCACAATACAGCTTTCTGGATAATGGTAAGTTTCTATATAAAATGCCAAAAAATTACAACTGTAACTGTCAAATCTTAAATCGCCAAAAATACCTGGATAGTATTTCACTGCAAGATTGGAGCTTTTAACAGCCATTTTCCTCTCATTAATGGACAATCCTTGAGTATGTTAACTGAGGACCCATAACCTTGAATTGCAGTTTTGTACTTTTCAGAATCACAGAAATATTAACATAATTTTAATTTCTGAATGTTAACACCTGGGTAACCCATAACTGGGTTAAATGTTCTAAAATATGTTCTCGGTTCTAAACACAAGGTTTTATACATGAAAAGCTAGTAGCAATATGAGACCTTGGGAAAAACCAGGGAACACACAGAAAACTCATGCAAAATGTGCAATAGTAGTTGTAGATTCACTTATGTCTCTGTCTGGTATCAAACAGAGAAGTACAGTATGTGGTTATCTCATAATAATTGCCAGTTTTGAACAATCTGTTATGAGGAATACAAAAAAGTCATTTAAAATCAATTTCATTTATTTAAATGTATCACCTAAAATAAAGTGTTGTGGGAGGTAGAGTGGTGCACTGGTTAATATTGTTACCTTGCAGTGCTGGGGCACTGGCTTCAATTTCCAGACCCGTGGTGCTACAAGATCTGAGTGGAGTTTGTGTGTTGTTCTTGTGACATACTGGCAGGTTAATTGGCTTCTGAAAAAAAAAGGTGTTTGTGTCTGGTTGTGCCCTCCGATGGACTGGGCCTGGTGTGTGTGTGGGTGTGTGTGTGTGTGTGTGTCTGGGTGTGTCTGGGTGTGCCCTGCGATGGACTGGGCCTGTTGTGTGTGTCTGGGTGTGCTCTGGGATGGACTGGGCCTGGTGTGTGTGTGTCTGGGTGTGCCCTGCGATGGACTGGGCCTGGTGTGTGTGTGTCTCGGTGTGCCCTGCGATGGACTGGGCCTGGTGTGTGTCTGGGTGTGCCCTGCGATGGACTGGGCCTGGTGTGTGTGTGTGTGTGTGTGTGTACCCTGCGATGGACTGGGCCTGGTGTGTGTGTGTGTGCGCCCTGCGATGGACTGGGCCTGGTGTGTGTGTGTGTCTGGGTGTACCCTGCGATGGACTGGGCCTGGTGTGTGTGTGTCCTGTCCTGTCCTCTCCAGGCTGTGTCCTACTTTGCCTGCAAGGACAGGCTCCGGCTCCCCTGCGACCCTATATTGGATAAAGCAGTTAGAAAATGGATGGATACAGTATGTGTCCAGTTAAATAACTGGTTATTTTACATTCTTTAGGTGGGGTTTGTCCAAACTAAATGCATCTTAGTAATTTGTTGATTTTTTTAACATAAAGTTTACATTTTTAATGACGAGTACATTACACAACAAACACCATACAGCACAAGCCATAAACTACTGCTTAAACACAGCCTGAGTTTGCCATTATTTAAATCTTCTTATCTTTGATGTTTAGCTTTATGGTGTTAATACAGATATTACTGTGATACTAAGAAGACAAGTGCTAACTGATTATACATTCCGGTTATTTCAAAATGATACCGAAGGCTGATCTATATATTTGATACATAGGATTCAATCATACAGTAACCATCTGAGCAAACGTAATACTTAATAGATAATAGATACTTTTTTGGTTTCAATTAAGTCTACAGTATGTCAAAATAATCCTAAAATAATTTACTCCACAGGTTTTTATGTGCTTTAAGAAACTGGAATTGAAGTATTCTGTTGTTAGACTTTTACTCTTCATGGTTATAGCTGAATGAAGTGTTTTTCCAATGAAGCACCAGCTGGCTGTGGGAACTCTTGGCTGTCCTTCTATGGTTAGGATAGTCTCTGTTTCGAACATCCTTTCTCAGCCTTCAGTGAGTCAGTAATGTCTTTTGGTCTTAAGTTACTCCAAGGAGTTCAAATATAAGCCAGTAAAGAGATGACTTGCTAAGTATATCTGAAGAGCAGGGATCCCAGTATGTAAGAAGGATGCCTTAGTGCTATCTTTGGAGTGACTGGCTAAACTGGATACCATTCAAGGCAGATCAGTGTTAAATTAGGAAGGACAGACTGCTATTAGATATTCTGTAATCATTTGTGGGAAAGAATATAATTAAGCTGAATTGTGGCGCATGTCTTTTGGATTTACTATGAACGATGAACAATAAAAACAAAAATTAGAATTATCATATGCATCCTGTCACGTATGGGGAAAGTTTATTTTGGTACAACTGAATTGCTGTAGAGTTCAAGAAACAATGGAGGTGACAATGTTGGGTGAATAATGCTATTCAGCGCTACTAATTGTATTTACAAAGAAGTTACCAAATACTTCTGAAGGGTAGCACTGAAGTTTCCTGGAATGGAAATACAAATGAGAAAACATTCTGTGTATCAGAAATATTGAACTTTTTAGGAAGGTTTTAAAGGTGTCTAAAGGAAGATTTTGGAATATTTATTGTTTTAGGTTATAATCCTTGAGCCTATCTGTTTAGCACCTCTGTGATGAAAGCGTTTTCACTATATAACTTAAATATAGCTGAAGACTGTCAGGAGCTGGTTTTACACCAGGAGCTGATATATTCTACAGCTTGTCCACATCTGGAGACTGAAAGAATCTGTTTCAACAAAAAGGCCAAAAATGAATGTTTTTCATTAAAGTAATGATTAGTTGGAAGTTTCTGACTTCTTAGGGGAAATTAAAATAATAAAAAATGTAACTGCCTGCTACCTAATGGAAAGGAAAGCTGAAATGAATACATTTGTTAGCATTTATCCGGTGCAGTGAAGGTTATTAAGACAATGTATGAGAAAAAGACAAAATGACAAAAACAGGATCTTTGTTTTAAAGTTAATAAGACTGTTAGAGCTAGATTTGTAATTTATCTCCACATGGGATTCTGAAAGCCACATTTTTGGAAAGTTTGTTTTTAGTGTGATATAGGGTCATACGTACAGAGAGCATTCCTATTTAGTTAATCTAATCACAGGAGGATTCATCTGTTGAAAAAAGCATTCAAAGGATTATTTTTATAAGAATTCATTGTACATTTGTTACCTAATGTGGTTATCTTACCTCATGCGAATTTCAGCCCTGAATGAATGAACAGTCTTTGAAATTCAAATCATGAAAGCAAACCCATGGATCTTCAAAGTAATTTACATTTGTACAGGGTTTAAGTGAGCTCTGCTTTGCATTATAATACATAACAATCCCAGGCTAGAAAAGACACAAACCAGAGCTGCCAGAGCTGCCAGAATAGGAGCCTCATACCTCCTATTCCAAGAGATAGAATCTGTCTAGTGGGAGCGCCAGTACTTCACTGTTGCTGAATCTGTAACACTGTGTGAAGAACCATGGGTGACAATATGTCAGCCTGACATAATCCTGACTAAATAAGATTCCACACATTTGCATACCTAAACCACATCTCTCCATTCTGACTAGAGTCACATGTGCACTCTTACAGTCTAAAACTACAGCCTTACTAAGAATTCAACCCGTCTTTGTTGGACCATGAACCAAGGCTTTGCATTATTATTTCAAAATGGGTAGCGACAAGTATACATGGCCTGAAGTATTTGTGCAACTCATGAATTCTTAATTTGGATGGGGTATTGCTGCACTTTAGCCTTTATCAGTGATTAAGTGGAATTCATTGAGTTTGCATGCTCTCCTGCATTCACATGGAGCTCTAACAGGGGTAGAGGGAAGGAGATAGAAAATATGTGCACAGAGTTGTGTACAGCAAGGCAGTAATTATACGTAAGGGAGTTGAAGTGCAACATTTGAGTTCCTTCAGAATGTCTGTTAAGTAACATACTTTCACTTGAGACAACAACATCTAAGAATTGAATGCTTTGGGAATGTTTGGAATACTTGGTGAGATAATTAGGCTTAACTTAATTGGTTAATGGGCAGCCTCCAGGTCACAGAAAGAGGAGGCTTGGTGATTGTGAGGATGGTGATTACAGTAGGTACATCTGTGTGAGACTGACTTCATTGTCATTGTTATCCCTCCTGAAATTCAGTTAATAACCTCTGTATAGCCTCACCTCTTACCCTGTTCTCTGGAATACCATAACCCTTGCCAGGAATAAGCAGCTTTCTGATAATGGATGATTCAATGGAAGTATTATTATTATTTCATGCCAAAATAAAGCATTTCCAGATACTGTGTTCAAGTTAGAAAGTTATGGCCGTCTTGGAATATGCTAAGAGAGGTGTAGGAGGGACTGAATGTCTTAAGTGTTTAACAGAGGAGGTTACAAGGAAATTGATTTGATGCCATCATAATTTAAATCCCGGGATCAACCTAAATCAGTGTATAAATGTGTAGGGTTATTAACCTGATATTCAGCCTTTGTTATGACTGTGAAGAGTTTTTCTATAAACTATGACTTCTCATTATTCTCATTATGATGATACCAGGAAAACATTGCAACTTTGTTATTTCAACCCTTATAATTCCATGGGTGAAAT